TGTCCATGTCCTGCAAGAAAAGCAAGCTCTGCATGTCCTCCCAGGTTTTCATCCATCCAAGATGGAAGCAGCTATGTGCTGCCTAATTGTGTCATGTCTATATATCTACAACCTACAACTAATATCTATATATCATGTGTGTGGGCGCACAGATCAGTGTATGTATGTATGCATGCACGTACGTATCAATATCTGAAAATTTTGATTCAAAGATTTCAAAAACATTTCAAATCCAGTTTTCACTTTCCGAGATCCAAAGTAAAGAAACATGAAAAAAACACATGGTCTAAATCGTCGAAACCCATTGCTTAGCCCAAAGCTTTGTGATAACGACCAATTAAGTGGACTGCAATGACATTATCAGCCTACTGCTGGCAGCTAGCCCTGGAATTCCGAAAGCGGGAACCACATGTTTTTTCTCCACGCAATCTAGGACATGGAGGTTTCATAAAATGAAGGACCTCAAAATCATTCAACATTTGAATGTGATTTTTCCCGAGCGCGTCTGAGCGAAGGGTTCTTCTAATAGTGGGGGTATGATATACATCTTCACATCTTCACATCTTCTCACCGTCACATCTGCACATATCATCTTCACATCTTCGCATCTTCACATCTTATCCTCACATATCATCATCGAATCTTCGCATCTTCACATCTACACATATCATCTTCACATCTTCGCATCTTCACATCTTCACATATCATCTTCACATCTTCACATCTTCACATCTTATCCTCACATCTTCTCTCTCTCTCTCTCTCTCCCTCTCATTCCCTCTCTATCTCTTTCTTTCTCTCTCTCTTGCCCTCTGTCACAGTCTATCTCCTTCTTTTTTCTTTTCTCTCTTCAGGCCGCGGGCGGTGCCGACGAGGCGCCACGAAATGGCCACCCTTTCGCACGAAATGAGGTTCGATCGTCAAAAACTGTAGTAACTCCTAGTAAAATTGTGATTTGCAAGTGTCGGCGGCAGCCCTTTCGCACGAAATGAGGTTCGAACCCCGCAGCCCCTCAGCTCCTTGTTTTTCAGTCCATCAAAGAGCTGCGAAAGCAAAGCATCATTCCTCAGGTCTTCACGTTATGGGTCCTGAAGGTCCCTAGGTTGGCATGGCCAAAGTTTTCAAAGCCTGAATGATTGGGGCATGTTTACTGCAAAAGGGGTTCACATGTTTGGCTTTGACCATTGCTGAATATGCGAGGAATCCACTGGTCTTCACGCCCGCAGGTGAGCTCCCCGACTGCCGCAGGTAATCCAAAAGGTAATTGTTGTTCATGATCACCTTCAATGGATCGGGAAAGCCGGGAAATCATGGGAAGTCTGCTGCCAAAAACATGGTGATTATGTTTTTCCTATGGAATCTCCATGGAATAGCGAAGGGGTCCCGTAAAACTTGTCCCTCGAACCAACTCTGGGACACCTCAGCCGTCTGGATATAGCTAGTTGCTTCAGAAAGGCTACGATACCAGGATTGGAATTGACGGGAATTGCATCTCAAAGTGGTTGAGTCAATGAGTGGGTTGACCAAAGAAAACCACATCCAAACCAGGAATCTCAATGATTGGCTTCAGTGAAAAACTAATACAGACTTAATAGATCCCTCGGGATAAAACACCCACCTCTCTGTCATATTTATTGGGCAATACTATTTGTCCTCTACGTCAAATATACCTCCCATTGTTTTTTTGTTGACCTTCCGGACTTTCATGAAAATCCCCGAATGAACCCCTTGATGAACCCATAGATTCATGCAAATCCCCATGTAATACCATTGGTTTTAATGTGGAGCATGGGTGTCCAAGTTGATGTTTTTTTGGGGACCTTCCGGACTTTCGGGACCTTTTGGGGGGTTACCAGGACTTGACATTGAGGTTTTAGTGATCTCAACTGCCCAACAAAGCATCGACAAAAATCAAACCCAAATCATCATCTGGTTGGTGGTTTCAACCCCTCTGACAAAATATTAGTCAGTTGGGATGATTATTCCCAATATATGGAAAAATAAAATTCATGTTCCAAACCACCAACCAGATAATGTACTTAGCCGTAAAATGGAAGTAATTGCCAGATGTGTTTGGACAAACCACACCCGTTTCACATTGTTGATTCTTTAAGCGATTATTATATCCCCTAAATCTCCACATCATGGTTGGTTACAACCCCCCCATGTCCATTTCTCGTTGGCGATGAAATCCCAAGTTTAGTGGGCAAAATCCGTCATTTTGTTGGTTATACATCCCCCGAAAGATAAGTAACCATTTCCAGGATGGTACGAGTATAGATTATGTTTACCTAAAATTCATTAAAATTCCAGATTTCCAACTTTTCTATCTTTTTGGGGTTGCCATATACATCCCCATGTGAAATCCGTCATTTTCGGACCCAGTTCGTCTTCGCGTTCGCAGCATCTGGGAGGCCCCAACCAACTGCGTCCTTGAGAGGGTCAGTGACGCTACTCAACGTGGAGAACATGATGACTTCACGACTTGCAGTAACCATTCAAACAAATATCAGAGATTCTAAGAGGAGATTGTATCAGTCTCAGTCAAATGTGGTCAAATTTTGGGACTCGACTTCAGCTTCGATTCCCAATGCAGCCAATTGGGATCTATATGACAGAATTAAGTAAGAACGACCATTATAACCATTGGCAGGAGGTAAAAACGTGGACATAATATCTCTGCATATTTGCATTCATTTTGCCCTGCTACGTTTCAGCAGAAACCTCGGAAAGACCCTGGCCATGCTTCTCTGACCAGGCCAGCAGTCAGAGTGGGCCAAGGTATTTCGGCCCTGAAACTACGCTTGGCACTCGAAAATCTGTGTGTGATGCTGTGCTCTTTTTGGGGGACCGGGATCGTTCCAGATTCACTTGCACAAAGATGTGTCAGAACGCAGCCAATTGCCAAGTACAAATTGTGGTAATTTCAACCCCGGATTGGGGGAAAAACTGGGCTGTTTAATTAGGAATGCCATTCGAGCAGCAAATGAACACGATTTTTGGGGGTCCCCCCAATTAATCAATAGCCCTAGTTTCATGGTGCCACTGGGGGTGATCGTGCAGCGGAATCAAGTAATTACCTGGCAAGAAGAAAACAGTATTTCTAATGTATTTCTAACCATTTGAATCCATCCAGATCCATTCTCAGTACAATAACAAAGG